GATGAGTTGCTCGGGCGCATCAGGAATGTTGACACACCCAAGGCAACATGGGACACCTTTGCATCATTGTTTTCAAAAACAAATGATGTCCGGCTCCAATTTTTAGAAAATGAGTTGATGTCTACCACTCAAGGAAGTAATTCCATAAGTGAATATTTTACAAAAATTAAGGATCTATGTCATGAAATTTCAGATCTAGATCCTAAAGCAAATATTAATGAGGAAAGAATGGGGAGGATCATTATACATGGGCTAAGGCCCGAGTATAATGAATCCACCACAGCTATAAGGGGTTGGCCAATTCAACCATCTCTTATAGAGTTGGAGAATTTATTGGCCAATCAAGAAAGCCTATGCAAACAAATGGCTGTAGTCTCATTGAATACTGAAGAAAAGGCACTTTTCAGTAATAATAATAGAAGAGGTGGACCAAGACGGCCTAACGCTACAAGGGCAAAGAAAAATGAAGAACATGCCGAATCACAGCAGCAGGAAGTGAGCTCTCAAACAGGGGGAGCTCAATTTGGTAGCAATAACCATGATCAACGATCCTCAGCACCCTGGCGGCGTAACATAGAGTTCTACAAATGTGAAAAGAGAGGTCACTACGCAAAAGATTGTCATTCAAAGATAAGGCAAGAAGAAAGTAACTTGGTGACATCCAAAAGTCACCAAGACAACAGTGAGGAAGAACGGGACTTCCAAGCATCCTTTGCAGTGTTTGATCCTAATGAGACTTATTGCTCTGAAGAAGTAGACTTTGATGCATGGGAAGTGCAAGAGCAACATAGTCCAACCGCTAGTGAAGTGGCTGTATGTGCAGTTGTGTCTGAGCCTAATGAGTCGGCCCTTGTGGTGGAGTCTAAAACTAGAGCAATCAACTACAACAATGATTGGATCGTTGATTCAGGATGCTCTAACCACATGATTGGTGACGAGGAGAAGCTGTCCAGCATGTCCAAGTACAAAGGAGGTCGGGTAGTAGTGACCGCTGATAATACAAGGCCATCGATCACCCATGTTGGTAAGACAATCATCACTTCTCGCTTCAACTCTAACCAAATACATCTGCATGACGTCTATCACGTGCCAGGGATGAAGAAGAATCTGTTATCAGTTTCACAACTCACATCCTCAGGCAACTATGTGTTATTCGGCCCAGAGAATGTGAAGGTTTACCAGAAGGTTAAGTTATCTGGTACTCCCATCATAGAGGGAAGACGGTTGGAGTCTATCTGCGTAATGTCAGCAGAATCAACCTACGTAGATAAGACTCGAAAGAATGAGGTTGCAGACCTTTGGCATGCACGCTTGGGTCACGTGAGCTATCACAAGCAAAAAATTATGATGAAAAAGTCTATACTCAAGCACCTTCCTCAACTAGATATTCGAGAAGATACAATTCATGCCAGATGTCAGTATGGTAAGGCACATCAGTTACCATATGAAGATTAAAAGTATAGAGCTAAGGAACCCTTAGAGCTTATCCACTCAGATGTCTTCGGACTGGTAAAACAAGCATTAATCAGCGGAATGCGCTACATGGTGACCTTTATTGACAACTTCTCAAGGTACGTGTGGGTGTATTTTATGAAAGAGAAGTCTGACGCTTTGGCCAAGTTCAAAGAATTTCGTAAGAAGGTTGAAAGCGATCTTGGAAAGAAAATTCGATGCTTAAGAACAGATAATGGAGGAGAATATTCATTAGATGAGTTCTTTAACTATCTTAGAGAATGCCAAATTTGACATCAATTTACCTGCTCAAGTACTCCACAACAGAATGGAGTGACTGAAAGAAATAATAGGCATCTTGCAGAAACTTGTCGGAGCATGCTATATGCTAAGAATGTGCCTAGCAAATTTTGGGCTAAATATAAGAAGACAACAACTCATGTGATCAATAGGCTACCGTAGGTAGGTTTGGGGTTGGTCTCACCCTTTCAGAAGTTATGGCACACAAAGCCCGTAAGTCACTTTTGAGTATTCGGATGTGTCTGTTACGTATTTGTGCCAAATTATCTATGTAGCAAGTTTGATAAGAAGACAATTTGTTGCATCTTCATGGGTTACGACAGTCAAAGGAAAGGATGACAATGTTGCAACCCCATAACTGGCCGTTGCTATACTTCAAGGAATGTTGTATTTGATGAAGCATCATCTTGGTGGTCTTCACAAGATGTACCATTGCCAGACTCCAAAAATTTGGAAGATCAATTATAAGAAAAGCTGGGGGTAAGGGTGTAATTTTGGCCCGTGGCTCGAGGTGAGCCTGACCCGTTTAGGCCCGAGCCCAAGCCCAACCTAAGACCTTGGGCCTGGGCCTGGGCCTGGGCCATCGTTTTGAAGCCCGGCCAGGCGCATGGGCCCGGCCTATTGGCCTGCTCAAGGTCTGTCCAAAAGCCCGGCCCGTTTGGCCCACCCAATGCCCAGTGTTATTTTTAATGGAAAATAATGAAATTTTGGTGGAAAAAATAAAAAAATAAAAAAAAAAAATTTGTTTAGGCCTGCCTAAGCCCGCCCAAAGCCCGAGCCTAGGCCCAAGCCTAGGGGCTTGGCCTGAAGCCCGGCCCACTGGCCCCCCCAAAGCCCGAATACCCCTGGGCCTGGGCCTGAGCTTGGGCTTGGGCTTAGGCCTAGTTTTCTGGCCCGTGGGTTGGGCCGGGTCGGGCCAAAATTACACCCCTAGCTGAGGGAGCAAAGACAAGAGGAAGAGCAACCTCCTAGTTTAGAAATCATCAAGGAGCCAGTATCAATACAAAGTGGTGATGAGCTAGACCCTGACTTGTCAAAGACACCAAAAAGTTTTTCAAGTTCATAGAAAACAGGTGTCCATCACAAGAGTCCAGAAGAAGTTCGCCTAAGCCAACAAGAAGGGGTTGAAGAGATTGGACCAAAACTCAGAAGGTCAGAAAGACAATTTAAGCCTAATCCGAAGTATACAAATGCTGCTCTAACTGAAGAAGATAGCATTACAGAGCCAACGACGTTTGGAAAGGCAAACCAAAGGACATGAAGGCAATGGAGGAAGAGATTCAAGCCCTCAGACAGAATCAGACATGGGAGCTAGTTCCTAAGCCCAAGGACATGAAGCCAATTTCATGCAAGAACAAAGCACGTGGAGGTACATTATCATGTCATTCGAGAGAAAGTGCTCCAAGGAGAGATAGAGATGAAATCAATCAGAACAGATGACCAAGTAGTAGACTTGCTTACTAAAGGACTTGGAGCTTCAAAGTTTGTAGAGCTTCGAAAGCAACTAGGCTCAACTACAAAAGAAGAACTAAATAAAGGAGTCAATGCTGAGAGGGAGTGTTAAGAGTCATCATTGACTTTTCTAGAATCATCTAGGCTATTGAGTGCATATGTCGAATAATCTAGAAGACTCCCAAAAGATCTAGAAGACTCTAGAAAGATCTAAAGAAATCTAAACGATTTTAGAATATTGTAGAAGATTCCAAAACGTTAGAGAAGCTTGTAGAAATCTAGAAGGTTCCGGAAGGTTCTAGAATATTTTAGAAGTATAGAAAGTACTATTATATACTAGAATAGTTTAAAGAGTCCTAGAATATTGGAAAATATGAGTATATGCTAGAGTATTCTAGAGGGTTAATAATAGCCTTTGGATCAAAATGATCCTAGCCATCCATTGAGGAGGTGGATGACTATATAAAGGGAAGTGACCTCATTTAGAAGACACAAGACACAACAATCAAGAGTGGTGTCTAGTGCTTGAGTGTGAGTGATTCCAAAAGTGAGGTGCCCTTGAGAGTCTTCTTGTATACATGAGTGTATCTTTGCATCTAAATAAAGATTCACTTTTGTATAGCCGTTGTGTTCTAACTCAACATGCTTCAGCTAATATAAATTTCGAAGCATAGCGATATAAATTTACAAATCAACAACATAACTCAAGCTAGCTATGAATGAAGTCGACCGAGTGTATCTACAGCAATGAACTGAACTAATTTGGAGAAAGAAAAGCAATGGATATCACTTCTAATAAAAATTTCAGGTAAACCAAAATTTTGTTGAAGTTTCCCGATCATAGTGGATCTATGTTACTCGAAGCATTTTCAATATAGAAATGATAGTGTGCTTAAGTTCTAAAAAAGGATTGCATTTTTTTATATTATTTCCATTGGCCTTGAAAGCCCAAAAGTCATTCCATCTTCAAAGTTTCTTTCACGAACCATTCAACATCAACTCAAACCTTAATAGGGAGTCCACATCAAGCTAGGCATTTTGAATATCTTCTCAAATTTCAATTATGCAAAAGTAAAAACCACACTTCTTAGCAAAGTATTAGAAGTCATACTTAAAAGCATCTATGTCTCTACAGACATGTTAACATCTCCAACTACTTGATTTAAGATATAGAAGGGGGAAAAAGTTTCCAACAATGCATCATGTCCTAGAAATATGATAGTTGTGTGATATAATATCCAGAATTGAAAAGAATAACAAACAAATCCTTTCAAAAATAGTTCATCAACCCGATTCAAAGGTGTTCTTGCTGAAACCACTCCAAATTTATTAATACCATTACTGAATTACTAACTGTTCCATTAGGTTAACAAAGCCCCCCACTTGACACCTCCATCCCAATAGGAAAAGAGAGAATTCTTTCTCGTTCCTCTTTAATATTGCAATATCCTTTCTTAGGTGTTTATCAAGACAATTAGATGCTTCAATGGAAATATGTAGTATGTGCAACTCTAGAGCCACTCTAGAGCCATTATTATTTTCTTCTTCACTAAATTGTTAAGTAAGAAAATAGATGATTTACCATCAATAGAAACAATTTTTTTTTACAAAATTCATATAAGATACCAAGAAAAAGAAAAAAAATCAGCTTTTATAAGACCAACGAGAAGACAAACAAATAAATTTTATAAGATGCTAAGACATTTGGGCAAGTTCACATTGCAGATGAGAGAGAAAATTGGAAATCATGGAAAGAATCCTCAAGTATATCTAGTACAATTCCAAACTACAATTACCCATAAGGATTTGAAAGTCCTATGGCTCCTGAAGTCACCATAAATTCCTGAAATGAATAAAATATAGCCCTAAGTCAGACACCAGTAAGGCAGTTCGTAGCAATAAATAATGCATTCCTCTTAAAGATACATGAGTAGCATGAAAATGTGAACTCAAAGCACATAAAAGGCAGCAGCAACTGCAACTCAAGTGCAAAAAATTCTTTACAAGACTAATATTTTGAATATGTTCCCAAAAGTACTTGACCTGTGCATATCAACTACAAACTGAAGTTATTATACCATCGAATCCTACTTTCACTTATAAAATCTTATTTTTAAGAAAGCCATAACACTCACTATCATTACGCTACTTATGCCATCTCACCAGATACAATGTCCTACTCCTAAGAACGCAAAACACTAACTGTTGTTAAGTTCTCCATGACTGTGTGTCTTATCATCCACATCTTTCAAAAGCCAAATCCTGATTGATGCTGTTAATAATCTCTCTATGACCAAATCTATTATTATCCATGTTTACATATTTCTTTACTAATGACTAGTTAAGAACACTTCATAAGGAAATTTACTCATTATTCATCTAAAAAAGAAAGAAAAAAAGACAACACTTCACGACTAGTAAAATATCATATATCTGTTCTTGTCTTCCTCCTTTTGTTTGGGTTTCAAACCAAACAAATTGAAGATCTTTCATTCTGGACAGCTTATTTACTTTCAAAAAGGTTAGTTTTGAAGGTATTAAAGTACGAATATAATTGAGTAATTACTTTTCATGTAGTCAAGTTTGGTTAAGAATTGTGCAATTCATTCTTCTTTCCTGTGAAAAGGGTGTATTACTGTCTCCCTAATTCAAAAGATATTATACAGGGAGGGGAAAAGAGGGGATGGATGAGGGGAACTAGAGCTGTGGACGAATGTAGTTCAGAAATTTTAGATAACATGGAAGTATCAAAGAAAGAAATATCTAAACAAGAAGAATGCTCCCTCTATAAAAATAGCAGCCATTGGTCTGTTATGTCTTGATCTGAGTGATTGCCACTTCTTAACATGGATTAGTTAATTAATCCTATATATAAATCAAGGATATTAAATCAGTGCTTTATTCTAATAAGCCTGGTGACTTTTCATGGATTAGTTTCCCAACAAATAGGACGGTATAGATGGTAGCATATTTAAAAACAAAAAGTATTTTAAGAATGTGGATCTAACTGGCCACGTATGAGCCACATCATTGCCATGTCACCTCTAACACATGGTGCGTCACACGCACCAATCGTAAAGTGACACAAACCAATTATGTTACAACCACTGAACAAACTTGGTTGACGACATGGTTTATGCATCGCTAATGTAGCGGCTTGTCGATGCCCATAGACAAAGTGCTTTGGCTGCAATTGCTTCAATCCACTGCCTTGGTGAAAAACCATAACGGTCTACATTGCCACAATATTGTTCTATGGATGCCGCGGGCTTTTAGAAGTTTGGCCTGGGTTTGTTTTGGTGTCATAGGGAAGGGATTGAACTTTGTAATGCATATTCAGTTGTACCGGCATAGCCCCACTGATTTGTTTGGTCCTTTCTTTTACACCTTGTGGAAAGTGGAGTGCATAAGCATGGGCCAGTAATATCCGTGTATCCTAATAGCTACCCTCCAACTTCGAGCCACGTTGTCCGAGGTTAATGTACATGGTGTCTAAACCTTGAGCCTAAGAGCTTGGGGACAATCTCCAAAAGGCACACCTCATTCATTCACCCAAATGCGCTTGGCCTCCCTTAACCTAGCCGAGCGAATCTCCATTTGAGCGCATCCTCCCCCCACTCACAATAACATGTTCAGTTCATCCTCACTTGAGCTAAACAAATTTCACTCAACATGATGTGTCTTCGTGTCATTCTAGATTGGGAGCAAGGCCTTAAAACCCCCTCAATTTGGTGTTGCAATCATGGGATGCCTAAGCGTCATCTTATGATCCCTTGCTAGAACTTTGGATCATGTGGTTTGGGAGTTATGGTTAAGAATTCGTCAAGATACTCACCCCATTTTTCCCTTGAGGGAATTTGATTTGGTGTTCCGGTCATGGAGGGTCTAAGCATCATCATATATGGTCCCTTGCAAGACATTTGGGATTATGTGGCTCTATGGTTAAGGTTAAGAATTTGTCAAGATACTTGCCCCATTTTTCCTTGAAGGGAGTTGAATATTGAATGGTTATAAATAGAGAGATCTCCATGAGAAGATAACACTCCAAGACAAAGGTATGTGACATGCTCAATACCCTTCCGTTACCTAAAGAGCATGCCCCACTATCTCTGCAACTTGAGGCTTCAAAGGATATCAACTTTAGTTCTTGTTCGGCTCATTCCACTAAGACATAGCTAACCAACCTAACCTTCTGGCCTCTACCATTTGTTGTTGACACATGTGAGAGCCAACCTCAATGGTTTAACCTCTCTATAAATAATGGCCACCCTCATTTGCCTCCAAGCAATCTCCAATAGTAGTCTAGAGACTCTAGCTCACTGCATCCAAACCATTACTACTCTCTCTTTCTTTCTCGTCATCCTCCTAATATACCCTCCACTCTTGTACAGCGCAAGTCAAAATTCCTACACCAATTTAGTGCCTAGCAGACTTCTCATAATGTCCCTCCAACCAACTTACTCACCTCTAACTATCCCCACTAGTCATGTGAGGTCCTAAATCCTATCAAAAACAACTTTCAAATATCCATTTTATCCACAAATTTTTGCTACGAGATTTAAAGATTTTAGAGGATAATCCAAAATTTTAGAAACTCCATGGTCATTCAAAATTGCATTGAAGAAAAAAAACTATAAAAATGGAAAACATTTTCAGTAATTTTGAATATTTTGGGGTACTTGGGAAGGGAAATCACATATATACAATTCTCAAAGTGGGAAAAAAGCCCCCACACAGAAGGGAGAGTTGAACCCTTGATCTCCCAATATGATACAAGGACTCTGGCTGGTTAGCTAATATTAGTCGCTTTCTTTTCCATACTTCAAGTTTATCTTTAAATCTCCTTCAAACATTCTTTTGTTTTTTTTTTAATAAGAAGATCTCATTCAGATTATTAAAGAATATCTAGATGTTCAGTCAGCTACTTTATTTGTCACTAGATAGTAGGATTTTTCATTCCTAAATCAATTACTTAGAAAAATGAAACAGAAAAGCCTATATGGCCCTTGACATTGAAGAAGGGTAGGCAAATCATACAGGTGCGTAGAAAATAAGCAATATGAGTACATTGAAAAGGCACTTGAGGCAGCATATGAGAATGTTAAACATCGTTATCAGAACAAAATGCATAATTTAAAAGCATAATTGTAATTCATAAAAAGCCCCCCAAAACCAATTTGCAGAATAATGGTTAATATTGGTGATGATAATAACGAGTAATACAACCAAGTCAAATAACAATAACAAAATGGGTAATGAAAGGGCACATTCAAAATTCAAGCCATAACTTTCCAAGACAGAATGAGGTACCTTTTGCAAAACTCAGTAGCAGAACGAAACCCATTGCGGCAAACAAACCACATCAACACAACCACCAGAGTATCTATGTTCATTAAGAATTCACAATCACCAAAACCAAAACTCAAAGCACTGATCTTTCATTCAAAAACCCATAAAAATTGAAAAAAAAAAATTGCAAAAAAAAATCCCAAAAATCAAACACAATTAATGGGAAGAAAAAGCCAAGTGATCTAGTTTTGCGATTGGGCAGATTTGTTGAGTTTATAATGCAAATTAAACCCTCGATTCAAACAAATAAATCAAGAAATGGACAAATCAATGAATATGAGGATACTGAAGAGACAACGCTCCCACCAATCTAACATGTAAAGTTCGAAAGTGACGTTGTAGAGATAGATCTTGCGCTGAACCCAATTCATAGTTTCGACTCTGATAACAGAGAACTTGAAATTGAGAGCTACCTCGTGATTATAAAATTGGAATTGAAAATCAAAATTTGAGGGAGAGTTCAAGGGAGAGAATGTTTGTCTTACCTTGGAAATGTCTGACGAAGAGTTTTCCAAATCTCTTCGAGCTGACTGCGCGTTAAAACCCCACATCCATTGATTTGTTGCCTTTTACTTACCGTTGAACGGGCCTAATTCGGGCTGGGTTTTCACCACAAAACAAACGAATCAGGCGACTAGTATTCAACTCATTAAAAAATTATTTTAAATTGATTTTTTTATTAATTAAACAAGTTAAGTTTAAGCATAAATTTAAGTTTACTACGTTTTTAAATTAAAGTCTTTCGTGTCTTTTTGAGGTAAAAGACATGAAATTTATTGATATGAAAGCTACTCAAGTTTGTTTTGTGTTCAATTGATTAAAACTTGTTCGAGATCGAATCTTTATATAAATAAGTCTAACTTAAGCACGAATTTTTTGTGTGTATTTTTATATAATCGATTTGTATAAATTTATATACTCCTCAATTGATAAATTTATTAATGATACAAGTATTTTATATAATTGAACTGACTCAAGCAAAATTCAAATTTCTTAAATATTTTAGTTTATTATTTTTTATGAATTAATTAACAAACTACCCCAAAAAAACAATAATACTAAAAAAATTTAATTTGTTTGAGACTTTTTTTAATGATTTTTTTAGCATTAAAAAGTTGGTTAATTTGTAATTTTTCAAATAATTAAGTTGAGTTTTCTTTTATTTATTTATTACAAAATTGATTTATTTGGCCCAAAATTTTTGACTTTTTAGCTCAAACTCAATTTGACTAACCGAACTCGAAATTGATTTTGAGCTCAAACTAGAGCCAAACTAAAACAGCTCAAATTTTGACTAGGGTCATTTCATTTTTAATTGCTCCCAATCTCGAGCAACTCTAATTATTCATTATATTTTTTTATTAAATTTAAATTTAATGAAAAATTTATTATAATTATTTTATCATACATTTGTAATTATTTTTGTAAAATTAATAAATAATCAAACTTTTTACCAAAAGTCAAATAATATTTTTTTTCCTTGGATAATGCTATCATACACTCTCAAATATAAGTTTTGATATTTATGAGATTAATTATCACATATATCATAATGCAGTTTTTATATAAATCATAACTAAAATTTAAGAAAAAAAAAAACAAGTTATAACCAAATATTACATAAGGAATAATCAAAAACTTTTTGATTCATAACCAAAATAATGACTTAACTAATATTACAATTTATCATAACTAACACTAGTGTAACTTATAAGTAAAAGTGATACTGTTATGCGATTCATACTTAATTCTTACTTTATAAATTTGGGGAGCAATATTTTGGTCAGTTTTTAAAGTAGTTGCAAGTACGATTGCAGGACATAACTAACCAAAGGTGTGGATAGGAATGACTTGCCAACGTTTAAGTTGCCCTAACCATAGAAAGAGCTAAGTTTATAGTTCGTTGGAAGTTAAAGAGGTCGACATGCTTAAACCTAGAACCACGGTGGGCCTTCATGCGGTTGAATTAGCAATAGCCATTGAACACATACACACACACAGAAAAGAAGAAGAAGAAGAAGTCCCGATCTCCAACAATTACCAGAGAAATGTTACAAGAAAGCAAGATAACAACCTGCCTTCCTCAAAAAGATTACTATGAAAGGAACTGCGAACAGAAACGCAGAACAAAAACCTAATCTAATCTTCATCTCTTTTCTTGCAGTACTACAAAAAGGTGCCGACTCCCTTTCAAACTTTTAGGCCTCATATCATGTGCATTCTCACAAAACATTAATGAATCGATCTTGTTTGGTAACATTCAACACCCTAGAATGTCCAAGAAATTATGTTACTATTCCATCTCCCACCCAAGAATTTAAAAAACATAATGCAAGCGCGCGTGCACATGTATATATAATATCCGATCGTCACCTAATTCATAATTCACAAGTTTCCAAATCAATCGCAGCCACATTCACTAAGAAAAATCATCTGCATATTAGGCCATATAACAAAAACTTCTTATACCTTTGTCTCATACACGTGTCTTGTAACTGGAATTCTGCAACTCTAACAGGTATTTTTTTGCTGTCCCTTTTGTCCTCTCTTTTACATTGAAGCAAAATCTTGTGGGGTTGGCCAAACCATACCTATCAGTTTACTGAGACTGGTTTTTTGGGTTGCCATTACTGGGTCCATGACAGGTTCGACTTTAGGCACCCGTCATATTTTTTATAGTTAATTTTCTTTTATGAATAATGTCATGACAATTCTATTAGGGAGAAATCTTGATAATTGATGGCCCAGAGATGCTCAAAGATAAAAGGAGGGAAAATAAAATGAACGAAAGTTTCATTACATGAGTAAAAGAGGTGAAACTGGATCCTCCAGAATGAATGTCTATGGACCAGACAGAGTACTCCAAAAATGTCACTACCTAACTTCAATCCATTAATGTTCCAAAAAAAAAAAAAAAAAAAAGAAGAAGCTACAATCAATTAGGCATATACATGATTCTCCATCCTCTAGAATTTCACCAAATACGCCGCCTTTCAAACTTTTAGGCCTCATATCATGTGCATTCTCACAAAACATTAATGAATCGATCTTGTTTGGTAACATTCAACACCCTAGAATGTCCAAGAAATTATGTTACTATTCCATCTCCCACCCAAGAATTTAAAAAACATAATGCAAGCGCGCGTGCACATGTATATATAATATCCGATTATCACCTAATTCATAATTCACAAGTTTCCAAATCAATCGCAGCCACATTCACTAAGAAAAATCATCTGCATATTAGGCCATATAACAAAAACTTCTTATACCTTTGTCTCATACACGTGTCTTGTAACTGGAATTCTGCAACTCTAACAGGTATTTTTTTGCTGTCCCTTTTGTCCTCTCTTTTACATTGAAGCAAAATCTTGTGGGGTTGGCCAAACCGTACCTATCAGTTTACTGAGACTGGTTTTTTGGGTTGCCATTACTGGGTCCATGACAGGTTCGACTTTAGGCACCCGTCATATTTTTCATAGTTAATTTTCTTTTATGAATAATGTCATGACAATTCTATTAGGGAGAAATCTTGATAATTGATGGCCCAGAGATGCTCAAAGATAAAAGGAGGGAAAATAAAATGAACGAAAGTTTCATTACATGAGTAAAAGAGGTGAAACTGGATCCTCCAGAATGAATGTCTATGGACCAGACAGAGTACTCCAAAAATGTCACTACCTAACTTCAATCCATTAATGTTCCAAAAAAAAAAAACAAACAAAGAAGAAGCTACAATCAATTAGGCATATACATGATTCTCCATCCTCTAGAATTTCGCCAAATACGCCGCTTAACCATTTATCCATGGAGTTGGTTTCAGGATCAAATAAGGACAAGTTTTTTTTTGGTCAAAATGGTTGTTCCATTTATTTTTTTTTTTTCCTTTTTTTGGTGAAAAAACGCAATTTTAATTCATCCCAGTTGCAGTTATCCCAGAACTGCAAACGAGTTGTTAGCTTCTAATTTCTTGGTGACATAGCTATAAATAGCAAGAAGTAAATTGTAGTGTATATATATAGCAAGTTTGTTTGATTTGTTTTCTACAGAATATCATTTTGTAAAAATTATCAATAACTAGAGGGAAAATTAGGTCCGTAAATCGAATTAATTATCAATAACTAGAGGAAAAATTAGGTCCATAAATTGAACTAAGTTATTCAAGTTCGACTTGCGTTCAATTTATTAAAAATTTATTCGTGTTCGTTGTATAAATAAGTCAAATTTAAATACATTTTAAAACAGATTATTCAAGCCAAATTTGATGAAGCTACTACTTGGATCAATAAACTTATATGTACTACACAAAACTAAACTACTTAACTCGGTTTGTATAAAACCCATTTAAGATCGGCTCAAAAGATAAACAAATCCAGCTTAAATTTTTTTAAAAATTCATTAAATTTTTAAGTCAAATTTCAACAATCTAATAGTTGATTCAACTCAACTTATTTACAAGGACACTCACTATGCATGTGTTACTTACCATATTGTATCAAAGGAGGAAGTTCAAGCTATTCGGGCCTCCCCATTATCCTTTGAAGAGAGAAAGAGGATGTCATGGTGTGGCACCAAACAAGACTGGGATCCATTCGGTTAAATCAGGTTATGATCTAGCTCGAACCTCAATTGATGTATCATCAAATGTCCAACCCTCTGCTTCTTTTCAATTTCCTCCAAATTTCTGGCAACTTATTTGGAGCATGGAGGTACCTCCAAAGATTCGACATTTTTGGCCCAAGCACACAATACCTCCTTGGTAGAAATTGCGAGTGATAATCAGTCACTTATCAAGCTTTGTGTGTCTGAAGATGTGCCCCTTGGGAGTGTATGGCAGTGGTGCTTGACATTCGAAGCCTCTCAAAGCTGCAACAATGGAAGTTTGGTTGGACCAGTCGAGCAAACAACAGGACAGCGCATTGGCTTGCTAGTTCCTATGCTAGCAAAAAGCTTCCTGCTAATTGGGTGGATTACCCACCTATACCCTTGCTTCTATTTTGTCTAGTGATGTTACCAGTCAGGTGTTTTGTTCTATAAAATCTCATCTGTTCAAAAATAAATAAATAAATAAATAAATGTTGTTGTTTTACACTCAATTTGAATGTAGCAGCAATTTTAAAAATGAACACCAAAGCTCTTTCCTCATAAAAACTGTGGGTCAAGCATTTCTTTTTTTCCTTTTCAATTTTTATGATTTCCAAAACATATACAATGAAAATTTCAAAATCATCTATTAGTTCCATACTCTCTTATTTTTGTGAAAAAACAGTTCTTGAAAATTTAGAAGACATTAAAATATTTCCTAAAAACAAGTGTATACATTTTTTTCCTGGGAAAAAACGAATAGAGAAAAACTTAGAGAAAACGAACTACCTGCGTAGAATGAAATCAATGAGTTATGTCCTACCACACCAAATAATAATAATACTAACAGCATTGACAATGAGTTCTTGACAGAAAGAAGAAATTTCCGTTTGGACTAAGAAGACTAGCAGAGTTCCACACATCCACTGATATGAATGCTTAAAACAGAAACAAGAAATAAGCACATGATGATCATCCGTATATAAGCAGAAGAACAAAAATATAATTTCACAACTGCGAGGAAAAGATAAATTCTGATTAGGTCTTGCCAAAACAATTGAAGATCTGCCCTTGATCTTTTTATGGGCTTATCTGAAATAAATGAAAAAGAGTACCTCGTATTCAAGTGGTGGCATACACGCAATTGAGGACAATAATTGACTGTTCTAGAAGAAATGGATTTTGACAGGTAAAACAAACAAAAATTTACATATCAAAATTCCAAGTGCTCTCAGCACTTAATTTTGGCACCTTCAGTTCCTCTGCCAAATTGAGGGACGCATTAACCTGAAGTAGGCACAATAAAGATTAAAAGTTGGAACATCATCAAAATAAAGTGCCAAGATTTTTGTTGTTACTAGAGAAGTTAAAAACATTGTAGTAAACAACAATGAAAATAAAGCTACATTATGGAAAAGGAGAGAGCACATCTCATTTTAAAAATCCAACACTTTTTGCAGCTTCAACAACAGTGTTAATTTTGTGGTTGGCATGGTGATGATCAGGGATCCGGTGTGATCCTCATCCTACTGATCAGAGAATCACCAAAATTCAATAAAAAAAATGTACATCCATGTTAGTCCCCATTCATTGGTTGGTGGTCTGGAAGGGATAGGTTGGGTACAAACCTAACATTTGACATAAATTGTACAAAGTGGCTGCCCTAAGCTTCGAACCCAAAACCTCAAGGTTAGTAGGCCGAGTTTTAACTACCAAACCAGTAGCCCCCCTAATAAATTAATCGAAGTAGGTATCATCTAAGAGTTATTACGAAAAGATAGCGAATCAAGAAAAATAAAGCACCCACTCAGAATACTAGAGTAATGGTCTATAAGTTATTTAATGTGATTTCCTTTGTCAACATGTTACTAGTAGATATTAACTACTTGACAGTGCAAAACATTTTTTGAACAAACTTTTTAGGCCCAACAATGCATGGGGGATCATTCTCAGCTGTCATGGGTCGTAAAAGCCCATAATGTGGCCGCATGAGACATTACAAAACAATGCACCTGGACATACACCAAATGCCCTTCCAAAGAAGACAAGTATGAGAAACCAGCAGAAACATGTACATGAGGTAATATCTTTCAAAGTTATGTTGGAGAAACATGTACAATTCTACCGATGTGTTGTGTCCATGTTAGGCAATCTAATATCCTGTGGACTCATTTGTAACTAAGAAAAAAAAAATTCTGAATACTTTGTATTTACATCTCTCAAACACTCCCAACATATAGGCCATTAGTGTCCTTTCTAAGCAACTTTGTCTTTAACATTATACATTCAGATCCGATGATGAACACAATCTTAAAATTTTTAAAATATAATAACAGAGTTGTAGTGATGAGCAGAATATAATAATCATAATGAACTTCTTGTGCTTCTTCTTCCACATTAAGAAATACTTACATAGAGATTTAGAGTATTAATTTTAAGTATAATAATAATGTACCTATACAAATATATTTTTCTATTCCCATGTCTTATCTCGCTTTTTTAGGATTTGCCATCCTGATGTGTCTATGTCATGTGCGTTTGCATGTCCTGCATTCAGGTCTAACCTCTTAGAAAACGCAAGTAATCGAGAAAAATGGCAAAATGTAGTCTCTAGCATCTTCTTTTACACTCAACAAAGCTTTAGTTAAGTAGAGAACTCCTTTCTTTGCTTGAAAAGTACCAAGAAACCCTGTAAAAGAACACCTATCTCTCATTGTGTCAATGTCATTTGTTTTAACTTCATACTGGTGTGCCTTTGTGCGCCATAAAATCCTTGAAGGCAAGCCCCAAGTGCAACCTATAATGTCACCAAAGGGAGCTGATCCACATAAACTAGGCCCAAACAAGCAAAACTACCCAATCATCTCACATAGACAAAGCCTTACCTACATCTAAAAACCAGATACACATGCACAAGATAAACTAGTTTAGACATCTCAAAGAATTTAACTATCCAGGTTGGCCTTCTGACCTGTTCAACCACCACTCAAATGTATCTAGAGCCACCATATGAGCTCTCACATAAAGAACTCTAAATCGAATTTAAGTGATATGAGATATGTTTGATTCTAATGTACAAACTTAAGACAATTAAAGGGCAGTAGTTGGCATAATGTTCCTCTCCATAGCTAACCTAGTAACACAAATACCCAGACAGGAGCTCGCTATATCCACCAAATCTAGACAAGCAAAGATGCTAGGTTGCATTTGAATTTATGAATTTGAAATGATTTGAACAGCATTCGTTCAAGAGGAATTGCTTAGATTTAGATATAGATTTCACGATTGAATTTGAGAACTTTGCCATGATGGATTTCAAATATTAGCAATGTAGAAAAAAGTTATTTAAAATGCAACAGACTAAAAGATATAGTTGTACAAAGATCAAAAGAAAATACTTTTCTCCCTCTACTCTATCTTCTGCTTTAATTTCTCAATCTATATTTAATAATTAACTCATTATAAGGTTTAAGTCTTAAAGTTCTAATCTAAAATAAGATTTAATCCTACAAAAAAAAAATAATAATAATAACTTGGTGCGTTGGTGTGTCTGTGCAATGTCGTGTCGCATGTTGGGCTTCTTGGCATAGTAATCTAAAATAAGATTAAATCCTACAAACAAAAATGTTATGCTTGGAAATATGATTTCCAAATCCTACTATAATTAATTGAGATTAATCAAAAGAACTTTATACAATTACTATACCTTGAAGTTTCCATGAAACAGGGAATTCATTGACCACTCCAATCCCAAAACCCTGCTCGATGTCTGATACGTAGCCCTCAGTATATCATCACCATATAGCCTATGCGACACCGCAAAGTCCCACGAATTCTTTGCCAAATCATAGCTCGGCTCGAATGTGCTCGACCCTCCATGCACGTAAGTGTACTTCAACTTGCAATTCCCAGAATCAAATGCATAATTGGCCGAGAACTTGTTGGCCGAATCGAGCACAAGCATCCCATTCAATGCGGTCTGGTTCTCGCTCCTCTCGTGAGTGTAAGTCAAATTCAATGGTTTGTCCAAAACCCTAACTGTGTTCATGAATTGAAACCGAATGTCCTACAAAGAACACACAGCCCCCAAATTTGGTAACTAATTCTGATAGGCTTAATTTCACTTTCATCCACCAAAAATATTACTATTTTCTCTATTTCATCCTCAAATTATCAATTTCGTTTATCTAATCCCTGAATTTATACTTTCATCCAATTGCAGAAAATTGTACAAATCAATAACAAGCCTAATTTAATAGGAAAGTTGTTATTTTTAAAATTACAACTTAAACCATGCAACAAAACAAACATTTTCCTTACTATTTTAAACAAACTACACCCCACAACTAATTTAATGCGTGTTTGATTATATGATTTTGTCCAAATTATAAAATTACATTTTTTTCTCATCAAATTAGACTTGAATGGTTACTTGGACCACATGAACAAAAATAATAAGAAACTTTAGGAACTAATGAAATTTAACACAATCTGAAAGCCCTAAACCCCAGTTTGATTGCAATTCAAATTGAATCCGCCGCAAAATGAGCATTAAACAAGCATTCCACTTATTTTAACTGACTTCATAAAATTAAAACGAAGAATTTAATCCAAAATTTTCTTGGTGTGTGTTTAATTTTCCTGCGTTTTCTGAGGAAACAAAAAGGAGAGTAAGAGTAAACCTGTTTGGGGACGTTATAGTCGACGATGAAAGAGCCGGGCTTCTCGACGGAGAGAGAGAGGCCGTTTAAGGAGGGTCCGCTGACGAAGGTGGCGTTGGTCATGTAAGCTCGGAGCTTCACGTCGCCAGCATTGACGGCCAGGGTTCCGACAGCGCCGACTTTATCGGGTTCATACTTTCCCTTCAGTGAAGCCTTCGTCATTTTCTCAGAGAGAGAGAGAGAGGATTTCGACAGGACAATTGTTTGTGGGGCGGGTGGAACGAGGGATGGGACGAGACAAAACAAACATATCGGTAGGTATCAGGATCCTAGTGTTGGCCCTGAAGTGATCCTGAAGTATGTGGATCCAATAGTTGAGAATGAAACTAATAAAAACGACGTCGTTTTGATTAGTATTTTTTTTTAAAAAAAAAAAATTGAATTCATTCAAAATTCCCTCAGCCTGTGATACGTGAAGCATTACAGAGGAGATAGAGAGAGAGAACGAAAAGGGCAGAGAGGAGGAGCTTCCAATCCACCCCCGACTCGCCGCTGCCGCTGTCCCGCCATACTCCAGCAGATTGAAGGAAAAGAGCACAGGTTCGTTCATCCTCCAAACATAAAAAATTAGGGCTTTGAATCCAAAAATTAGGAAAAATCTGAACTTGGTACTCTCTGTCATTCTAAATGTGATCATGATGTTTATACAAGAATCTTTGTGTATGTAGTGTTTTGTTAATCCTCTAATCTGAATTTTTTTTTGGAGAAATGGTTAAAAAAAATTTGAATTTCATATAGGATCTGACATTGGGGGAAGGGAAATGTTTGAATTTCGTTGGTGTTCTATCATACATGGCTTTCTTAGGATTTTATGTTTCCAACTCCAATTATTGAGAGCATTTTGGATTATATGTGTAGGGTGGTTTGGAATTGTTATTAGATATGTTGCTTGGTATTTGTTTGTGAAGAGTGTATGAAGTGTGCGGACTTTTAATTCTCCTTTGATATTGAGCTTTCTTGTTTTTGGCAGAAGTTGATGACATAACTTGTGTCCACCATGGCTTTGTTAACGAAGATGCGGTTAAGAAGACATATTCCTGATTGTTTCTGTAGGTGCTGATGGCTCCTGGACCTTGTTTACAGAGGTCCCTTGAAATAATTATCTCCTATTTAACAAACAATTCTATGGATTGGAAAACCAAATTACATGAAAGGCACAAGAGGTGTCATTCATTTTGTCTAGTCCTATGTAACTAAAATTATGCTAGCAGTACAATCTTTTTTACTTACTAAAACTAATGTTTAGACTGGCAGGCTTCTTAGTTTTGTGAATTAGTTTTTTGGACAAATTTCACTTTACTCTCTTATAGTTTGAGTCATGTGCGTATTACCCCTGATATTCGAATATTATTACATAATCTCGTTGTAATTGTAATTGGTGGATTAAAACGCACTTTAAGATCAAAATATCCCTAGAACATCTTTAAATTTGTAAAAAGGTGTCATGGGTCTTCCTCCTCTCTAAAATTACAACTCAAAACAAAAATCTAAATTAATTTAAACAACATCTTTTTATTTACTTCTCATTCTATTGAGGCATTGGAATTCCCTAGACATATTGGAATTTAGAGTCTGAAAAAATATTTCCTCTTTCACATCATTTGCTACTTTGAGATGACAAAAAGTGTGTACATATTTCGTGTATTTGGATTATGGATTTTAAGGAAAAAAGATTTGAAAACTTATTGTTCATGGGGACAACTCAAATTTAAATTTGGTTGTTGATTGACTTTGAGAGTTTTGTCGTTTTGGTTGTGAATCTTAAAAAAAAAAATATATGGGGAAATTAGTGGGTACCCATCCCCAACCCATCCCCTATGGATATTTAAAGAATATCACTTACCCTACCCAATGGATAAGAAAAAAAGGGGAAACCCATATATTTGGGTTGGGTCTCCATGGATACCCACAGGGTAGGTTATCCATTGCCATCCCTAAACGAGGGATGGGACGAGACAAAACAAACATATCGGTAGGTACCAGGATCGTCTGAAGTGTTGGCCCTGAAGCGATCCCTGAAGTATGTGGATCCAATGGTTGAGAATGTAACTAACAAAAACGATGTCGTTTTGATTAATAATTTTAAAAAAAATAAAAAAATAAAAAAAATTGAATTCATTCAAAATTCCCTCAGCCTGTGATACGTGAAGCATTACAGAGGAGATAGAGAGAGAGAACGAAAAGGGCTGAGAGGAGGAGCTTCCGATCCACCCCCGACTCGCCGCTGCCGCTGTCCCGCCATACTCCAGCAGATTGAAGGAAAAGAGCACAGGTTCGTTCATCGTCCAAACATAAAAAATTAGGGCTTTGAATCCAAAAATTAGGGAAAATCTGAACTTGGTACACTCTGTCATTCTAAATGTGATCATGATGTTTATACAAGAATCTTTGTGTATGTAGTGTTTTGTTAATCCTCCAATCTGATTTTTTTTTTTTTGAGATATGGTTAAAAAAAATTTGAATTTCATATAGGATCTGACATTGGGGGAAGGGAAATGTTTGAATTTCGTTGGCGTTCTATCATATATGGCTTTCTTAGGATTTTATGTTTCCAGCTCCAATTATTGAGAGCATTTTGGATTATATGTGTAGGGTGGCTTGGAATTGTTATTAGATATGTTGCTTGGTATTTGTTTGTGAAGAGGGTATGAAGTGTGCGGACTTTTAATTCTCCTTTGATATTGAGCTATTTACGAATCTTACTTCTTCATGTTCTTCCATACAATTTTTTTATTTTATTTTATTTTATTTTAATCCATACAATTTTTTATTTTATTTTATTTTATTTTAATTTCTGTTCTTTGTTTGCTTTTAGTTTAATTTTACTTGGCCTTTGGAATTTTGTTTTTTGAGATATGGTTAAAAAAAATTGAATTTCATATAAGATCTGACATTGGGGGAAGGGAAATGTTTTGGTAGGTCAAAATTTTCAATTTTAGTACAAAAACCGTATTGGAAAATTGTTGAATAGAACAATGATTTGTGAGAAATTTAACAAACTTATGTGTGAATTAGAAATTGAAAGCCTTATTTTTGGTGTTTTTGGTACCAGAACTGGGTATATTTTATTCTTCAATTTGCAATTGGATCTTTGTGGGTATGATGATGATAGTTGTTACAGGGCTAATCTTTTTATTTACCTCTCATTCTATTGAGGCTTTGGAATTCCGTAGACATATTGGAATTTAGAGTCTGAAAAAATATTTCCTCTTTCACATCATTTGCTACTTTGAGATGACAAAAAGTGTGTACATATTTCGTGTATTTGGATTATGGATTTTAAGGAAAAAAGATTTGGAAAAAAGATTTGATAATTTAAATTTGGTTGTTGATTGACTTTGAGAGTTTTGTCGTGACTCATGATAAATTATAATGGATTTGAAATAACAAATTGGAGAGCTAAGAAAAGTCTTTTTTGTTAAATGACAGTTGAGAATCACTATTGATAGAGTAGAGCTTCAATCCAGCTAAAGAGAGTTCCTCTCCTTCTAAAGTGAAGATGTGGGCTACTGATGATTTGAATAAAACCATCTCATGGCTGGAGAGCTAAGAAGAAAAGGTAATGTTCTTTGTATGTGTTTATTTTGTATGTTTAAAAGCTGCATTTGTTTCTTTTTTGGGTAATAATTTGGATTTTATATTTAATGTTTATACAGATTTGCCTGATAGATTCAATGATTCACTTGATATTCTGTTATACTTGTGTTTCCATGATCTTTATTTCTAAATTTGTGTTACTCCCACCATTTTCACCCCTAACCCAAATTTACAAAATCCATTTGGTTCTTGATAGGAGTATTGAGGAACATAGGATAATAGCATCAAAGCCACAGCTCAAGTCACCATCACAGCCATAGCTCAAGCTGCAGTCTTCACAACAGCACACTGGGCCGCAGCCTCAGCTGCAACTGCAGCCACAAGAGAAGTGTCAGCCTCATCCCAATCATGTGCAAGGCAGTTATGTTAGACCACCTGGACCAAGATTAGTTAGCAAGAATAGATATGGTTATGAAAGTGGAGTTAGTTAGATGTGCTGGTGTAACAGAATCAGTTAGCATTGTTAAGTATAAATGACTGTAAGACTTCATTGAAAGTTAATGAGAAAGAATTTCAATTTCTGTTATGGTATCAGTTAGCATTGTTTGGATTGTTGGTATGGTATGTTACTGTTTTTTGTGCTTCTAGTTTATGTTGTTATTGAAGATATGAAGGACAATGGTCCATGTATACATATATAGACTTCCATGGACTGTTGCCATTTGTTTACTTTGATGTAAATCAGGACACTCCAATGATCTATATCCTTATGTGATGCTCAGATTTGTGTCCCACTCAATTTCAGACCATTGTTATGACCAAACATGTATTTTCAGATTTTAGGAAATTCAAATGGAATAATGTTTTATTCAAATTGAAGGGTTATAATGATTGAGCAACATATCAGCACATATTTGATTGAGCAACATATCAGCACAGATTTGGTTTATTTGCTTTACATATCAACACATATCAGCCCAAATAAACTTATTTTTTGCTGATATCAAACTATAATGAGATTCCCATGATATGTTTTTCATTTCATATTTACACAAATTTCAGCAATATATCAGCCAACTTTGAGTACCATTTCAGCACATATCAGCCAACTTTGAGCACCATTTCAGCAACATATGTACACAAATTTCAGCAACATATTTACACCAATTTGAGCACCCTTTCAGCCAAATTTCAGCAACATATTTACACAAATTTCAGCAACATATCAGCCAACTTTGAGCACCATTTCAGCACATATTTCAGCAACATATCATCCAACTTTGAGCACCATTTCAGCACATATCAGCCAACTTTGAGCACCATTTCAGCAACATATGTACACAAATTTCAGCAACATATTTACACAAATTTGAGCACCATTTCAGCCAAATTTCAGCAACATATCAGCACAAATTTAAGCACCATTTCAGCAACATATCAGGACAAGTTTCACAAACATAGCAGCACAAATTTCAGCAACGTATGAGCACAAATTTCAGCACCATTTCAACTAAATTTCAGCAACATATCAACACAAATTTCAGCACATATTTCAGCAACATATCAACATTCACATAAAAAAAAGTTCAAGGTCATTTCGACATTCAAATTTCAATACAATCTGCCAAGTCTTCAATATTACATATCCAACCAAAAAGTTTACAAATTTCACAAATTTCTACATTCACATGAAAAGTGTTCAATATTACATATCCAACAAAAAAATTCAACGCTACGATATTTACGTGTGATCCACATTCCCATGCCCTTGGCCACGCCCACGACCACGCCCATGCCCATATAGTACCTAAAAAAGAAAACAAATATATATAAGGAACCATAAAATAAAATGGAACTTTAAATGAATGAATGACAAAATAAAAGAGGAAACGTGAAAAATAAATTACTTGACTATATGCAGGACTATTCGAGGCTTGCGAGTCATAAGTGCTTGCATTGTTAAGCAAGGCTTGATAGCTTCCATGGACCGAATACATCGATGGCATTGAAAAATGCATATTGTGACGAAGAAAACTTGGCTGCAACAATAACAAACACATATCAATTTAAAATGGTACAAAATATTTACAAATAAGTCATAATAAAACTTCTTATCTATATCAATTTATCATGCTAAAGGGAGGGGGAAAAAAAGATTAGAAAAATCAGGCTTTCAATTGTATTACAATATCAACAAAAACTGAGGATTTTAATTGTTCGCACATTATCTATATCAATTTATCATGCTAAAGGGAGGGGGAAAAAAAGATTAGAAAAATCAGGCTTTCAATTGTATTACAATATCAACAAAAACTGAGGATTTTAATTGTTCGCACATTATCTATATCAATTTATCATGCTAAAGGGAGGGGGAAAAAAAGATTAGAAAAATCAGGCTTTCAATTGTATTACAATATCAACAAAAACTGAGGATTTTAATTGTTCGCACATTATCTATATCAATTTATCATGCTAAAGGGAGGGGGAAAAAAAGATTAGAAAAATCAGGCTTTCAATTGTATTACAATATCAACAAAAACTGAGGATTTTAATTGTTCGCACATTATCTATATCAATTTATCATGCTAAAGGGAGGGGGAAAAAAAGATTAGAAAAATCAGGCTTTCAATTGTATTACAATATCAACAAAAACTGAGGATTTTAATTGTTCGCACATTATCTATATCAATTTATCATGCTAAAGGGAGGGGGAAAAAAAGATTAGAAAAATCAGGCTTTCAATTGTATTACAATATCAACAAAAACTGAGGATTTTAATTGTTCGCACATTATCTATATCAATTTATCATGCTAAAGGGAGGGGGAAAAAAAGATTAGAAAAATCAGGCTTTCAATTGTATTACAATATCAACAAAAACTGAGGATTTTAATTGTTCGCACATTATCTATATCAATTTATCATGCTAAAGGGAGGGGGAAAAAAAGATTAGAAAAATCAGGCTTTCAATTGTATTACAATATCAACAAAAACTGAGGATTTTAATTGTTCGCACATTATCTATATCAATTTATCATGCTAAAGGGAGGGGGAAAAAAAGATTAGAAAAATCAGGCTTTCAATTGTATTACAATATCAACAAAAACTGAGGATTTTAATTGTTCGCACATTATCTATATCAATTTATCATGCTAAAGGGAGGGGGAAAAAAAGATTAGAAAAATCAGGCTTTCAATTGTATTACAATATCAACAAAAACTGAGGATTTTAATTGTTCGCACATTATCTATATCAATTTATCATGCTAAAGGGAGGGGGAAAAAAAGATTAGAAAAATCAGGCTTTCAATTGTATTACAATATCAACAAAAACTGAGGATTTTAATTGTTCGCACATTATCTATATCAATTTATCATGCTAAAGGGAGGGGGAAAAAAAGATTAGAAAAATCAGGCTTTCAATTGTATTACAATATCAACAAAAACTGAGGATTTTAATTGTTCGCACATTATCTATATCAATTTATCATGCTAAAGGGAGGGGGAAAAAAAGATTAGAAAAATCAGGCTTTCAATTGTATTACAATATCAACAAAAACTGAGGATTTTAATTGTTCGCACATTATCTATATCAATTTATCATGCTAGAGGAAAGACAAAAAAAAGATTCGAAACATTAGGCTTTCAATATAAAATAAAATTAAAAAATTGAGGATTTTAATTGTCTGAGTTGTTGTTGATCTACAATATATTTTTTCTTTTTTCTATGTTGTATTTGGAAGCTTGAAGCTTGAAGCTCCAATCCGAGATGGCAAGAGATGTCACTCATGCTAACAGCTTGATCTACAATAATTCAACTAAGGGTAAATTACACCGGCAGTCCTTAGATTTTAGCCCTTATGTAATTTTGGTCATTAGTAATTTCAATTTACTCAATTTTGATATGAATTTATAATTTTGTCTCAATTTAGTCCACTTGTTATAGTGGTTACTGTCTTTCAATGGTAGATACGCACATGAGCAGCATTTATCATGCTTTTTTTTTTTGATTAAAAGCATTTGTCGTGCTTTTATAAGCAAAATTATAAACTTGTTCAACTCAACAAGTTAAATCAACCAACTCAGTTACCATTTTCCTTCAAAAACCTTAATCAACCTTTTTAATTAGATTAAATACAAAATTAAAATTAATAGTCAAAATCAACCTAATTGAAATTAGCAAATTGACACGTTTTCCCTTTAATTAAACAAGCATTAAAAAAGCATCATTTTTTTTTATTTTTTTTTATTTTGCACATATCTAGCCAATTTCATTCATTTCTTAATCCAAAATTAACACTATGTTTGGATCGTGAGGTGATGTGAGAAAAGAAATGATTATGATTTCTCACTCAGATGAGAAAATAAAAGAAATTATTATACTTTCTCGCCATTATGTTTAGATGAATAAAAAAGAAGAAAATGTATCTTATTTGATAACGTAAATAAGAGAAAAGAAAAGAAAGCATTCTATTTCATTTTACCAAAATAACCTTTCATATTAACAAGTTAAGTTTTTTCATAAGGGTAATTTCAATAATTTAGAAAACTTTCATTATACTCAATTCCTTTCCCACCAAATCTCACCATTGATGAGAAACAAAACATAGGTCTGGCAAGAATTTTTTGTCACCATCTCTCATTATTTTTCACCTATTTAATCATCTAAACAAGTGAGGGTTTCCTATTCTCAACGTTGCTTTTCTTTTTCTCACCAAACCCCTCCATCCAAACCGAGTGTAAGAAATTCTCAGCTAAAACCCAAATTAACAAAATTCTAATTCATTTTTCTAAACCGCCCCAAACTAAAGTAAAATTAAGGTATCACGTTTTGCACCCACGACAACTAGTGATTCTATTTAAGTACAACAGACTAATTGAAACGGATGTGAAACAAAATTGTGATCATAAGATAGAATTTGATTCGATATTGGATTAGAATACGGATGTAGAGACATCAAAGAAAAACAGACAAGAAGAAGAAAAGAGGAGAATCAGACCTTGGTTCTTCAGTGCAATTATCAAAATCCGAATTCTGGGATTCTGAAAATTATGAGTTTTTCCTGTTTTCAGAAAATTATGAGTTTTTCCTGTTTTCAGAAAACAGGAAAAACTAATTTGGTAATGAAAAAATAGAAAATACTCATAATTTTTTTTGGGGGTTGTGTGCATAAATAGTTATTGAAAATTCAAAGATATCTTTCTAGTGTTTATTTTCAGCAAACTAGTTTTTTAGTATTTTCCAGAAAACAGATTCTGAAAATGAAATCAAACCAAGATGCTCAAGAATGTAAAATTTCAGGAGATGGAAACATAAAGGGTAGCATTGGAGGTGTACCAGCTTCTACTACTACTAAAAAAATATGGTTAGTGGCTTAAGCACTCGGGGGACATTGCTTTTACCTTTCCATTCTCCGTCATTCTGACTGAGATACAGGTGCAACATATTTTTGTTTTCATGTAAACACACATTTCACTTTATAAGAACCTTAAATCTCAATCATCATTCATTTAGTTAAACGGTGGAATTTGTGAAAAATGAAGGACACTTTAAACAATACATATACATAAAAATTTGAGTTGAAAAAATTATGGGGATTGTGCAGAGATTGGGGTATATATGTATAGATTTGTACAATGTTAAAAGGGATGAATGAAATGTTCCCACACCTCAGCGACGGCGGCGACGACTGGACGACGGCGGTGGCGACTGGACGGCGGCGACGGTGGCAATGGCTGGACGACACTCCCGCCTCTCTTCTCTCTCTGTCTTCTTCTCTCTTTTTTGCATTCCCGCCACACAGCTTTGCTTACTGGAGGGAATGATTTGTTTTTTTTTTTTTTTTGAAATTACTAACCAAAACGACGTCGTTTTGGTTAGTTACATTCTCAGCCATTGGATCCACACACTTCAGGGCCAACAATTCAGAGGATCCTGATACTATCGGTAGATTCTCTGTTTTGAGTTACTTGTTATTCTCTTTCAAACTAACAATGGAAAAGAGCAACGTCATTAATTTTTAGTGTTATTTGGCCAATCCGGCTGTCTAAACAGCTGGTAGGGATAAAAATAGGAAAAACAAAAAAAAGGGGACAAATTAGAGCTCGTAAGAGCATCCCCACCGGCTTATTTTTATTTATTTTTTTTTTGCAGAAGAAGAACGAAGATCGGGAAGAAGAAGGAAGAAAGGAAGAGGAGGAGGAGGAGGAGGAGGAGGCGGAGGCGGGGCGACGGCGGTCGGAGGCTGCGGTGAGGTTGGGCTGGGCGACGATCGGCGGATCGGCGGCTGGGAGGGGCGACGATCGTCTTCTCTCTCTCTTTCTCTCCATCTCCATCTCCCTCTGCTTCTCTCTCTTCCCCTCTGCTTCTCTCTTCTCCCTCGAGCCATTTGGGGCAAAATGTTTCGAGCTACGAAACATTTCCCTTTAAATTTTACTTTAAAATGTTATTAAAAAATTTATTTCCTATTTTAAGAATTACTTTTTTATTTATTTCTCTTAACAAATTCTCTATTATTTCTCTATTCTATTAAAATAACAAATTTAATTACTTTTAAATTTGAATATTTTTATAATAATAAAATAATGAAAACATATGCCAACCTACTCTGCAATTTCAGGCAGTGGGCTCCTATTGAAATTGTGGAATTTTTGAAACAACAGCGTCAATAATTTTAGTTCAGGCAATGGGGCACTGAAATTGTAGAATTTTTCAAACAACAACGGTCATTTTTTCAATAGCCTAACGGTCATGTATTTTAAATTATATAAGTAGCACTATTTGCTCTCCCTATTTCAATTTGAAGCCAATTTCTCTCCAATTCATTCTTTAAATTTTTTCTATGACTCACAATCATGTAATAAATATGATCACTAAAGATAAAGACTCTTATGATTAGTTAGAGATATGTACAGTGGTTGCAATGGAAGAAGAATGACTTGAGAGACAATCAAACTCACGTGGTGGTTCTGTTGAAGGCCGCAAATGTATTCAACGTGATTTTGGTCAAGGCCATGAAAGGCTTTTTCTGGATTATTTTGCTAACTCACCTGTATATCCCTCCAATTTGTTTCGAAGGAGATTTCGGATGCGCCGCTCTCTTTTTCTCCAAATTCAAGCGGCAATAGAAGCCCATCAACCATACTTCGTCCAAAAAAGAAATGCTGCTGGAATGCTCGGTTTATCTTCTCTTCAAAAAATGACCGTCGCACTTAGGATGCTTGCTTATAGAATAACAGCTGATTATATGGATGAATATCTAAGGATTGGAGAAAGCACCGCACTAAAGAGTTTGAAAAAGTTTGTTAAAGCTATTGTTGTAATTTATTTTGATAAGTACTTAAGGTCACCAAACAACGATGATATTGCTAGATTGCTAGTAGTTGGTGAAAGTCGCGGTTTTCCTGGAATATTGGGGAGTATAGATTGTATGCACTGGAAATGAAAAAATTGTCCGATTGCGTTAATCGGAATGTATACTACTTAGGATGCTTGCTTATAGAATAACAGCTGATTATATGGATGAATATCTAAGGATTGGAGAAAGCACCGCACTAAAGAGTTTGAAAAAGTTTGTTAAAGCTATTGTTGTAATTTATTTTGATAAGTACTTAAGGTCACCAAACAACGATGATATTGCTAGATTGCTAGTAGTTGGTGAAAGTCGCGGTTTCCTGGAATGTTGGGGAGTATAGATTGTATGCACTGGAAATGAAAAAATTGTCCGACTGCGTTAAGCGGAATGTATACTGGTCATATTCATGAACCAACAATTATTTTGGAAGCAATGGCGTCGTACTATCTTTGGATATGGCATGCATTTTTTGGGTTACCAGGATCTCATAATGACATCAACGTGCTAGAACGATCTCCTATATTTGCCGAGCTTGCTAAAGGCCACGGTCCTCCAGTCAATTACTCAATCAATGGTAATGACTATACAATGGGATACTACCTTGCTGATGGAATATATCCACAATGGTCAACATTTGTAAAAACAATTCCATGTCCACAAGGAAACAAGAAAAAGTATTTTGCTGCTGCCCAAGAGTCCACCAGAAAGGATATAGAGCGTGCATTTGGAGTGCTACAAGCTAGATTCGGGATAGTACGTCAGCCTGCACGTTTATGGAAAACGAAGACTCTAAAATATGTTATGAAGGCATGCGTAGTATTACATAACATGATCGTTGAAGATGAGCGAGATGTCAATGGATCAGAAGACTTCAATTATGATGCAATCGATGGAAGTTCACAAGAACCGGTCTCACACGTGCATACACCTGAACTTATGGAATTCATTCAAAATCATCATCGCATTAGGGACAAGGAAACTCATTCTCGGCTCCAAGCTGACCTTGTTGAGCACTTGTGGCAAGTGCATGGACAATCATGCTAGAACTTCACTTTTATATAAATATGTATATTGTATCACTTACTTTAGTTTAAGAAATCTTTTATTGCTATGTAATTTCAATTAATTCCATGACATGTTTTTAATTTTCCAGTTAAAATAACAATAGTACATCTTTACAAATAATTAAAACAAATGAGTGAAGATATTTGATGATATAGCATAAGATAAAAATTATAGTGCTGTGAGTGTCACAGTGATTATATCAGATTAAGGGCATGAACTTGAAACAAATTCAATGGGAAGATGAGTATATTTATCCTCATCAGATATTGTAAACTAAGACCATGTTCTTTCTTTCTTCTTTCTTTTTTGATCTCATAAAACAAGCAGTTTTGTAAAAACTGAACCATATAAACAGAGTAGTTTTGTATAAACAGAGCAGTCTACGTTCTTATTCGACCGGTCGTCCCCCCGGACGTCCGGCCCCTTCTCTGTTGCTGCTGTTTTGCTTGTTGTTCTTCTGTTGCTGCTGTTTTGCAAAATTAGCACTAAAGTGTTGTGAGCTAAGGAAGAAGGACAGACCGGAACTTGGTTTAACCATAATGCCGGAGCTTGCTCGACTAAGAGATCTTCCTATTACAGGCACACCAGAATAGATGTGATTTAAAAAATTTCTTTTTTTGTTTTGAATTTATTGTTAAATTATAGAGTGCTTGGACATAAGTCATGTAACTTGTTTTTTAATCAAAACTTTATACGGCGGAGTCTGCTTGGATATCACATGAAGATTGAATTAGTCCTCTGTCTTTCATACAAATTTATCTTGTCTTGGCATTAACAGTGTTTATATATCTGTTATATTCTAAATATTTACTTAGATTAACAGAATTTAGTTTTCGACATGTGAAGCCTTATTTCAATTTATACTGGGTCAGTACCGTTATTATTATATATTACACCATCAGTTCATCTTGAAATGTCTATTAGATAAATATTAAAGCATAGATATATTGCTTTTTCACTAGAAGTGCAACCATTGTTCTCAATTCATTGAAAAGTTTTCCTAAAACCAGGAGGTTTCTGACACTTTGTTATTCCTTTTCTTTTATTTGTTTACAATTCCCATGATAACTGTTATAATATTGTATCTTTGCTCACTGTCAAATAATTTAGTGAGTAGGGGAAAAAAAAAATTGTCTTATTTATTTATTTATTTTTTTGTAATTTCCTTGATGAAAATAACCTTTAATTGAAAAGTGCAAACATTTCAAGTGAAATATCAAGAAGAAAAATATAATAAAATTTATCACAATTGCCATTAAGGGGGAGTCTTGGGTCATGATTCACTCATTTTATGTGTTGAAGAACAATGTATTCTTTAAATATCATTTAGTTAGTAACTTAAAAGTAAGAAAGTCTTATTTATTTAATCGCTTAGTTAGCCCCTATTACTAGCATATTATTCTGCTTAGTTTTAATCTCATAAACAACATGGTTCATTACAAAATTCCAAGTATATATATCGCTAACTTATCTCATAAACATGATCTCATAAACAACTTGATCTCATAAACAACATAGTCCATTCCAACATCATGGTCCATTACAAAATTCCTGCATTATAGTCAAAATACATTACATTTTCAAACCATGGTCCATTACAAAATTCTTGCACTATAGTCAATATACATTACATTTTCATATCATGGTCAATTACAAAAAATTCCTGCAGAATTGAGTCAAAATACATTAATTTCCATATCATAGCCCATACAAAAAAATATTTAACTTCCATAACCTGCATTTACTTTCCTTTTTCAAGGATTTCCAAATGGCGACGATGGTAATATTGTTGTTGCATCGGAGACAAACCACTAGTATTCATCAACATAATTCTCTCCTCCTCTTTAAGTTGTTCCGCTTTGAACATTTCATTTTTGATAGCAAGTCTTTCTTTCTCATGAAGAAGTCTTTGTTCCTCTTGAAGAAGTCTTTGTTCCTTGTGTCGAAGTCTTTGTTCCTCCTGAACATATGCTTTCTCCAGGATTTCTATTTTCTTCTCACTATTCTTTTTATTATCTTCTTTTATCTCAGTTAGTATCCCAGCAAGAGGCGAAGTCATATAATCTCCACTCTTTCGTTTCTTTATCCGCTCTTTTTCAGCTTTCCTGCCTATTGGTCTCTCCAAGTCTACAAAGGCATCATGCGATCCATCATTATCTCCTAGATTAACTGTATCTGGAGTAGAGGGAGGGATGGTGGTCAATGTTGGCTTTTTTGTTAGTTTTTTCTTTTGACAATCCTCTACCCATTTTGCTTGGAACCTCAACAAATTCCAACAATGATCAAACTGAAATGAACTTTTATGCAATTCTTGGTATAACAGTTTTGCTTGAGAGATCTAAAATTAAAATATAAAAGTCTTGTTAAAAAGAGTAATAATTGCAAAATGTATACTTTTTAAAAAAATTAAAAAGTACCTTGTCTTGCTCATTTATACCACTTTGATGCCTTGATTCAATTTGGGCAAAACATCCACAGAACTTATTTGTGCCAAGTTGAATGGTTGACCACCGATGCATTAGAGAGTTCGCATTACATTCATGATTAAAGGTCTTGTGTTTGTGGAAGTACTCATATACTCTTGACCAATATGTCTTATCTTTTTGCTTATTCCCGTACACTGCATCCAAGCTAGTATTAAGCCATGCCGATACAATCAGATTGTCTTCATCTATAGTGAAGTTTCTACCACGTGATCTTTTAGTAGTGGATCCCATTTGAGGTGAGAATTGAGTTGTTTCAGTAGGTACTTGAGTATTTTGTTTCACATTTTGACCCATTTGATCTTGAGAATCCATAAAAATTAAATCATCAAAGTTGGAGTCCTTGTGCAAAAGATTAGTGAAGTATTTGCCTCCTTGTGAATCCATCCTTACATATTGAATACAAAACACAAATAGAATTCAAACAAGAGCTTACTATTTTTAATAATTCTATGTGCAGCATATGCAATAATTCTACTTACTACAAGCCTATCAACAAAATTTCATAATAATCCACCAAAACCGAAAAGTCATTAACAGGGCATTACCTTAATGAACAACTCTTATATAAAATATGTATTCCTATTCAACCACAAAGTCCATAAACCAGAAGAGTCACAGATTCTCATATAAATTTCTTTAAACCATTGATTTCTTCAAGTTTTAGGAAGTAAAATTTATTGCAATCAAATTTTCAAAGCCCTCATATATATAACATATTTATTCCTATTCAACCACAAAGTCCATAAACCAGTAAATTAAAACAGATTCACATATAAATTTCAAATTACCATCACCAAAACCAAAGCATCACATATAGATTTGCAAGTTTTTGGTCTCTAGTTGGTGAAGAAGCATAGAGAAATACACACTACACAGAGAGAAATAGAATAGAAGAAGTAGGGTTTAGATTGGGAGCAACACAAAGAAAATACATACCAGAAGTTGCCTTTGTTGATGATGATGATGGCGAGAAAGAGTGACCTACACTAGTGAAAGAGATTCTTGAGAGAATCTTTGGCTGAGTTTTGGTGCCCTCCAGTTCCCTTCGCGCCTTTTGCTGTAATAAAATAAGAATTATCAATATGAGTGAGCTACAGTGACTCCCTACAAATAGGGAGTCACTGTAGCAACACTTTTATTTAGGGGGTGGGTTAAGGGACCTGATGGGGGTGTTTTTTGACAACAAAAACCCTTATTTTGAGTAAGGAGATGGTATAAGGGTCCTCCTGGGGATGCTCTAACATTTTTGAAAAATTAATTCAACTCTCTATTTTTTTACTTTTTACTTTGTAAAAAATTTAAAAATAATTAAAATAGTCACTTTTCAAAACAACTAAAACAGTTACTTTCCAATAAAAATCGAAATGAAACTCAACAAAAAACACTTTTTATAATTAACAAAAAATAAATTTATTTAAATAAAAAATATTTTCTATTTTTAAAAAGTAAAAATTATTTTTTGAACTATTATATTACCAACATTACTACATTATTATCATTATTATCAACTCCACTATCATGCCACCACTTCCACTTCTACATTCGTCCTCCCACCACCACCACCACCACCACCACCAAACATAAAAATTACTTTCTTTGAAATATAATTTTTGAAAAAAAATTGTAACAAATATTTTCCAGTTAAACATATGGATTGTAAGGTAGAAGAGGGAGATGTGATGGGCCATTATTGGGAGCTATTGGTCTCAACTTAGCCAGGGCCCACAGCCTAAACTATAGAGAAGAAGTCGTCTTCCATTGGAAAGCATACTATTTGGGCTTTAGTTGAACAATCTCAAATCAACTTTTATGCTGTGTTGGCGGCTTCTTAAGCACCCTCATTCTTTTTGTGCTTAGATATTGAAAGGTATTTACCATTCTCACTCAATTTTTTTGTCTGGAAATAGGGGCATAAGTCTTTCTTGGGCATGGGCATCCTTCAAGGTTGTGAGCTTCTCAAAAAGGGGCTTCGTTGGCAAGTAGGCAACAATAAGTCAATCTTTTTTTGGAATGATAAGTGGGTGTCTCAATCACATAATTTCAGAGTTCAAAATCCAAAACCAAGGGGATGCCAAGTTCAGTGGGTAAGTGATGTGATAGATCAAAATATACAAGAATGAGACCATGGTAAATTGCAAGAGCTGGTTGGGCGTGAGGAAGCTAGTTGTCACGGACTAGGCGTTTGTCATCTTCTCGAGAAGTCGACTCTACGAGTGGTATTACATACCCCGTGCATTATGCCCAAGGACCAACCTAGGAGATGCTATAGGGATCTACCATGCTTTTCTTGCCGCTCACAAACTAATACGCTTGCAAGGTGCTTAGTGTAGAACTCGCATCCCTAATGAATCGGTACGTGACATGCTACCAAAGCTAGTCCCTGACGCCCTCGGTAGGGGGACATTACCCTGCCTACTTCCATGCTTGTCCGTTCCCCTACCCATGGGAAACCCGCCCCGCACGGATACCACCCTTGGTGTGGACCCCACAATGAAGGTGCTTGGTGTAAGTTTCACGTACCGTCCTTATCGCAGTACCCCTAGGCTAGCTCTGATACCACTTGTCATGGACTGGGCGCTTGGCATCCTCCTGAGAAGCTGGCTCCACGAGTGGTACTGTATACCCCGTGCATTATGCCCAAGGACTAACCTAGGAGATGCCATAGGGATCTGCCCTACTTGCTTTCCTGTTCACAAACTAATGCACTTGCAAGGTGCTTGGTGTAGAACTCGCATCCCTAATGAGCCAGTACGTGACATAGTGCTATTATGACTATCCTAATCTCATTAGTTAACCAAGAGGACTCTCTTATTTGGCATCACACCAAAAATGGAAAATTCGAAGTAAAAAGTGGATATCAGATAGCAATGAGGGATTATCAGTTAAGGACCTCAAATGGGGCTTCTATCTCAGTCCATTTGCCTGAAAAGTTTTGGAAACTTTTATGGTCACTCCCTATTCCTCCCAAAGTTAGAAACTTTTGGTGGAGGGTGTGTAATAATAAGTTAGCGACCAAAGAAAACCTTTTTCACCATAAATGTGCTACCTCCCAATGTTGTTCTATATGCGTTGTGTTCTCTAAGTCTATTGAACACCTACTCTTTCAATGCAGTTGGACTAGACCTGTGTGGTTTGAGAGCGAACTCAGCTTCTTGACAGATTATGATTCTATTTTGTCTGCTGCAAGCTGGACTCAGTCCATTTTTTAGAGTAGCACTACTGATCGGGATCAAAAAGAGCGAATGGAAAAGGCAGCAATAGGTGGGTGGTGTGTTTGGAAGGCTCGCAATGACTGGGGTTTTAATCAATTTGAAGTAGAGCCTATGCATGTCATCAGACAGGTTTCATCTTTTTGGAGGGAGGTCTGCTCGGTGTTTTCTATGGAAGCTCCCTCTTCTGCAATTGTAAATAGCTCAGGTTAAGCCGTACTAGATGGAAACCTCCTAACCAAGGTACGTTTAAAGTAAGTTGTGATGCTAGCTTTGCCTCAAAAGGAAGGAAGACTACTCTGGTTGTGATTCTGAGGGATTGGAGAGGTAAATTAATTGGTTTAGATTCTACAGTTCATACATCATCTGTCATTCAAGGAGAAGCTCATGCTGTCAGATTAGCATACTTGTTTCTTCAGGCTCTTGGACTCTCCAATGTCCAAGTGGAAAGTGATAGTAAATTCATCATAGATCTGTGTTTCAAAATTGGTTCCCCCTTTGGGACTGTCTTGCTTTCATACATGATATTCGGTCATTGAGCCAGGGTTCATCAATTTCATTCTCTTGGGTGCCTAGAGAAGCTAATTGTGTGGCCCATTGGAGCAAATTTGCTGGATGTTCTTTCCATAGATTGGATTAGGAATCCTCCCTCGTCTTTGAGGATTTTTTTTTTTTTTTTGATTCTCTTGTAGCCTGAGAACAGTTACTAAAAAAAATAAAATAAATTAGAACTATGTCAGATCAAAAATGAATAAATAAATAATATCATAAATTTGTCTGACCCAAAAAACAATTCATAAATTGGAGGGAATTTGTGAGGGAAAAGTTGGGTTTTGTTAGGGTAGAATTTCTTTTTTCTTCACAAATTTAAAATTGAAACATGATTAATTGAATATGAGTAATTTAAATTTTATTTAAAAGTATTGTTTATTAACTTATAGAACCAAAGTTTAAAAAATTAAGTTTGGTTCAAATGCTTTTTAAAAAAAAAAGGAAATTTAGCTATAAACCCCATTTACCTTCCTTTCATTGTTAAAAGAACTAAGAAAAAAATTATACTTTCTAAATCCCCCTCATAATTATAAAGTCTTGCATAAAGGACAAAATTTATTATTTAAATATTTTATATGACTATTATACCCTCAACTAATTCTTCCCACTCTCTTCCTTTCTAAATCCACAGACAGTTTCTGTATATATAATCAAGGAGTGTCAGATTTTTAATCAATTTGCAATCAATTTTTTGTTGGTAAAGGTTAAGAGATTCGGATTAGAGAGATGATCAGAACTGGTGCTGTTTCGCGGCGGAAGAGATCGTCGGAGATGATCGGAGAAAGCTTCGACGATGACGACGTATCGCTTTCCAATTCTCATGAAGTTCATGTCCTTGCCGTTGATGATAGCCTCGTCGATCGAAAAGTCATTAAATGATTGCTCAAAATCACCTCCTGCAAAGTTACAAATCAATTCTCTCTCTCTCTCTCTCCTCCCTCTCTCCCTTCGAGGAGGCGACAAAGGCATGTTTGGTGGAGTTATTTGGTTATACATATTTTTTTAAACACAGATTTGAGTTTTGAATATATGTGTATATATATATTTGTGTGTATGAGTGTTGTTGAACACATGTATTCTTTTCATTGAGATTTGTGATTGTTGATCGAGTTTTAGAAGTTTTTCTTCTCAATTAGATATGTTGATTTGTTGATTAATTTGTTTTGTTTTTGTTTTTTGATTTTTTTTTTGTTTTTGATCTAATTTCATTTTACAGAACTAGAGTAAAATTTTACTCTGGTTCTATTGCTCTGTTTTTTGTTTCAGATAATGAGAGTAAAATTTTACTCTGGTTCTATTGCTCTGTTTTTTGTTTGAGAGAATTAGAGTAAAATTTTACTCTGGTGTTAGAATGACAATAAAATTTTACTGTCAAGAGGTGGTCATTGCCAAACACTTCAGCCGCCACAAACATTGCCTTCGCTTTTTTACTTTTGTGCAGAGTAACATTTTACTTTTAGCTTCAGAGTCTAACATTTTACTCGTTTTTCAGAGTAAAATTTCACTTTTATACAGAGTAAAATTTTACTTTTGTGTAGAGTCTAACATTTTACTAGTTTTTGAATTAATCTGTTCATACTCAGCTTGTTCAATGGATGATCTATTCAATTTCTCTCTCTTTCTCTCTCTCTAATAAGAATCTCACACAGAAATTTAACTCTGAATCAGAGTAAAATTTTACTCTGGTTAAAAACATGTTGATTTGCTTAAAAATATAAAATTTTACTTTGGTTAAAAACATGTTAATTTGCTTAACAATATAAAGTTTTACTTTGAATCATAGTAAACTTTACTCTGATCTGAATCAGAGTAAAGTTTACTATGATTCAAAGTAAAATTTTACTCTGAAATTTTACTTTGGTTAAAAACATGTTGATTTACTTAACAATATAAAACTTTACTTTAAATCATAGTAAACTTTACTCTGATTCAGAGTAAAAACTCTGAATCAGATTAAAGTTTACTGTAATTCAAAGTAAAATTTTACTCTGAAATACACTGTGAAGATGGCTTAATAAGAGAGCTGATAGATATGAAGGTAATATAGTAAAAGAAACAAGTTTTAAAATATTAGGGAGTTTTGAAAGTACTTATATAATTCTTATCCTTTTGAAAGACAAATTAGATAGTGAGGGGTCTACCACCAAATCCCCCAAAAAAAAATCTTCGTACAACATCAATTTTCACCATCACTGCTATCCTACCATCACTATCACCATGCTAGTAGAAAAGCCACTTTTGCCACCACCATTATCATTGTTATTGCTATCAAAATCACTACCATTCCACCATAACACCACCATCACCATTACTACAACGCCGCTGCTACT